TCTATTTCTACATCAACCTTCATGTCTAAATAATCATCAAAAACTTCAACCTACAAATTTGGTCTAAACTTCCCTTCCCTAGGTCCTTACCTCTCACCCTCAACCTGCACAAAAACAAACTCAAAATGGATCAAAGATCAGTCAACAAATGCATAAAAAAATGTTCAACGTCTCTAGTAATTAGGGAAATGCAAATCAAAACTACTTAAATATTTCATCTCACTCCGGTCAGAATGGCAATTATCAATAATACAAAGCAACAGTAAGTGCTGGTGAAGATGTGGGGGAAAAGGTGCACTCATACATTGCTGGTGGCACTGCAAATTGGTGCAACCACTCTGGAAAGCAGTATGGAGATTCCTTGGAAAACTTGGAATAGAAACACCATTTGACCCAGCCATCCCACTTCCTCAGTCTATACCCAAAGGACTTAAAATCAGCATACTATGGTGAAACAGTCATATCAATGTTCATAGCAGCTCAATTCACAATAACTAAATGTGGAAGCAACCTAGATGCCCTTCAATAGATGAATGGATAAAGAAATTGTGGTATATATACACAATGGAATATTATTAAGTATTAAAAGAGAATAAAATTATGGCATTTGCAGGTAAATGGATGGAGTTGGAGAATATCATGCTAAGCCAAGAAGGGCAATCCCCCAAAACTAAAGGCTTAATCTTCTCTCTGATAAATGGATGCTAATCCATAATGGGGGGGCATGGGAAAAAATGGAAGAACTTTGATTGGACAAAGGGGAAGGAAAGGAGAGAAGTGGGCATGGGAGCAGGAAAGATGGTGGAATGAGATAGACATCATTACCCTATGTACATGTATGACTGCACATATAGTGCAACACCCCATTATGTACAACCAGAAAAATGAAAAGTTGTGCTCCATTTGTGTACAATGAATCAAAATGCATTCTTCTGTCATATAGACCTAATTAAAATAAATAAATAAATAATTTAAAAAAATAATAATAAAGGAAGCATTACAAGACATTAAGAAATAGATCAAAGACCCAGGAATTGGATCAGAAACTATGCAACACCTATAAGAAAATATAGGGTCAACACTCCAACATAAAGGTGCAGGTAACAACTTCATCAATAGGACTCTTAAAGCTCAAGAAATAATATATTGGAAATACAAAAGAAAGCTTATTAACAAATGAGATAGCATGAAATTAAAAAGCCACAGTAAAGTAAACAAGAATGTGCAGAACCTTCAGAATGGGAGAAAATCTTTGCCAGCTACTCTTCCAACAGAGGATTTATATCAAGAGTATATAAAAAACTAAAAAAAAAAACCATAAAACAAATATCCCAATTAATAAATAGGCAAATGAACTAAGCAGACACTTCTCAAAAGAAGAAATGCAAATGACCAACAAATATATAAAAGATGTTCAACATCTTTAGTATTAAGGAAATGCAAATCAAAACTACACTGAGATTTCATCTCACTCCTATTAGAATGGCAGTAATCAAGAATACAAACAATAACAAATGCTGGAGAGAATATGAACACTGTTGGTGAGATTGTAAATTACAGCAACCACTATAGAAATCAGTTTGGAGGTTCCTGGAAAGTCCAGGAAAGGAACCATCATATGACTCAATTATACCACTCCTTGGTATTTGTCCTAAAGAATTAAAGTTATCATACTATAGCAATACATGCATACCCATGTTTACATTGATATAATTCACAATAGCCAAACTATAGAACAGCCTAGATATCTGTCAACTGATGAATGGATAGGGAAAATATTTTATATATATGATGTTTTATTTAGTGACAGAGAAACATAAAATTATGTCTATTTGCAGAGAAATAGACAAACCTGAGAATATTATGTTAAGCAAGATAAACCAAACTCATAAACAAGGGCTGTATGCTTTCTTTATGTGGAAACTAAAGAGGAAAAAGGAAAATAAAAGGGCAGGAGTGGTGGGAGTCCTATGAAAAGTGAAGGGAGACCAGTAGAGTAGAGGAAGGTGACCTTGGGGAAGGAGGAGGGATGGAGAAGGGGAAATATTGGAGAAGTATATTGACCAAATTGTTATATTGTGTCCATTTATATATCCAATAATAAATCCTACCATTATATATAATTATAATGCACCAATAAAAAATTAAATTTTTAAAAAACTGTCCCTAGCTTCTCCAAGGCAGTTTAGAACTAATGAGATATCCCTGGAATTGGACTCACAAACTCCAGACTGGTTTTCTGCCCTCCAATATCATTTTACAGATAAAACTGCCAAAAAATTATATTATAACCTCAGTAGAATGACAGAAGCCATATAATTTGTATAAAATTCACAATCTTTGATGGCTTCTAGTGACCTGCAACTGATACCTAATAATTATTTGTGGCCTCAAAAGCTGTGTCACTATCTCTTTGCAGATACCATGAATCCAGGGGCTTAAATGAGGGGGAAAGATTTAACATTAGATTAGTGTGCAAGCAGAGGTAAATTAAGAACACAGTAGCTTCTCATGGGTCTTTTTTAACAAGATAAGTAAGAGAGGGGGTGAGGGGACAGGAAAACAAGAAACAAGTGATGGGGAGACATTAACTTTCAAATCTAAGAAAAATATCCTAATTTCTAAATAGAGGCCTGTTTTCCTAAAGAAGAAACAAAGATGAGATGAAGGAGGAAATAAAATTATGCTTTGTCCATAATGTTATCTCAGTTATTCATCTCAACAACACCAGGTGGTAGTCGCTATTATTCCCACTTTCACAATTAAAAAGTCGAGGTTTGAAGATGTGATGATCTGCCTAATGTTATATAATGAAATGGTGGAAAAATTATTATTCTAACCCAGTCTTGCTTATCCCAACATTGATCTTATTTCATATATATATATAGGCTAATGGCTGAAAGAAAAACTGAAAGCTCTGTTGAAGCTGTTTCTCAAAGCCCATCGATGACCTCACTCAAGAGTTCTCATGAATGCCTTCTCATAATCCACATGCCAGGATCCCTATAGATCCCTTTCATGCATCTCATCTCTGACATACTACTCAGGCTCTATGGGAGCCTTCTAAGTGAATGTGCTGCATGATTTTCTCTTCCTGTTTCACTTAAGCAAGAGAAGGGATCTGAAAGCACATGGATTCATTTTTCATGGCCATTATTCTCAGCAACCAACTATGACTCTTGATTGCCTCACCACTTAAGAGCAATAACATGTCCAGATAAATTCAGTGACTGGTGGCAAAGTTACTACACATCTATGTTTCCTGACATATTTTTTTTCCTTTCATCCTGTTCTTTTCATGTTAGGAAAAGAGAAAAAAAAGCTTCTTGTTCAGAGGTCTTTCCAAATATAAATATAACAAGCCATTATTCTCTAGGCAGGATTAAAAGAAGTTGCTCTTTGCTGGAATCCTTTGCCATGCTGTTACTACACCATATTGTTCCTGTCTCTTCTGCCCACCCTTTGACCATTAACCATTCTTCATTATTTACCTTAGTGTGGTTTGATTGTAATGGAATATTTTGTAGTGTTTTTCGTCTATTTCTTTCCTCTTCATTTTTTGCCATGTTCTTTTGGCAAGCATTTACTGAACATCTACTGTGTGTCAAGTTCTGTGCCAGCAGCTGATTCTCATCATTTCACTTCTGACAATCATAATTACTTCCAAATGGATCTCCCTGCTTCAAGTTTTTCCTTGAATTCACCTAATTCAGCCTGTTGCCAAACCATTCTTTATAAAGCTCTGCTTTAACAAACAGCACATCTACCCATTTCTTCACAGGATTAAGTCCCTATATATTAGCTCTTTTCTTTATGCCCTCTGGATACTTCTTAGACTTTGTTTTTTTTTTTCTTCTTTCACATACATTCTGTAGTTTAGTATATTCTACTCATTTGCCCCCTAGCATGCCATATGTATTTCCACCACTGTGACTTAGAGCTCTTTTAAAAAATTTCCAAATCCTATTCCATATTCACTTACTATGTGGTTTGGAGCAAACACCATTCCTGGGGTGGCAAAGGTTCCTTAACTAATAGGTTTTAGTTAAGGAGGAGAACTGACCTAATCTCATCTCTAAGAGGAGGCTAAATGTCCTAGAGTTAGGAATGAGAAACAATGCTAACCACATCTGTCCAGCAATGTCCAACTACATGAGGAACTTCAGGCCCTTAAACCACAGTATGGCTGGATAATGAGTTTCTTAAGCAACCTCGATAAAGTCCCAGAATGAGAGATCCAATCAACTCTTCCATTCGCTCAATCAACAAAACAGTTTTTGTGCATCACCTATATACTAGGCATTGTGATGAGTACTTGGGAACAAGAATGAGTAAGAGAAATAGATTTCTGCCCTCATAAGAATTTTAGCCTCATAGCATATAAACAAGTGCCATGAGTAAATAAGATAATAAAAATATGGGTATTAAGAAGAGAAATAAAGTGTTATAATGCACCAGAGTAAGATGTGCTACTGGAAGTAGGAGGTACTATCAGTCAAAGGTCTCTTTATGAAAAATAAAAGTGACATTCCAGACTCCTGAATAGCAAGTACACAGGCTCAACACACATGCACATATACACACATGCACTTACACACACACACACACACACACACACATCAACGCCAATGCAGGCTGATAACTTCAATGGCTTGGGTCTTATGTGTATTTTACTTGCCCACTGGGGACATGCATCCAGCTCATGCAATCATAACCAAAACAGCTTCCCTTTTGAGTATACACATAGTTTATGGTTTTAGTTATAGTTTAAATTTTTAGTTTGTGGATCTCTCAGTGACAAAGATTTAAATCCTACCTACATATTTTTTTCTACTTTGCTAGCAAAGTTATTTATTTCCAACTTAAATACATAATATTCCTAAAATACAATATAGCACTCTAGTGATACTCATAACTCTGCATATTAAAATAACTGCCTTTTACTTTTTAAAGATGGTATATAACAGCTCTCAACAAAATTTAGAAAATGCTTTCCTTACCTCGTTGATTAACTGGGTCTTTAGCTACATAGGCAACATAGTCTGTAGTATCCTATAAAAAAGGGGGGAAAAGATTACATTTTAATGGGAAACATTTTTTTAAGAAATAATTTTTTTATTTTAGAGAAAAATAGATATAATAGCCTATTATTGTATAGATTATAGATTGATTTTAGGCATGTACTGTATGTGGAAAGGAAAAGAATATTGGACAATATAAGCAATTTGACATATATATATACAACATGAAGAAAAATGGACAAAATATATTCAAAGAAAAAAAGCTATTAAATTGTATGTCCTCTTCTATATCATGTGAAGAACACCGTAACAGTTTTTCTACTTTATTTAAATGATATGCTGCATACATATATTTGAAGTGCCTGCACATCTAGATATAACTGCATCTGGACTCAACTTTTAGCTCATTGTTTATGGTTACATAAGGCCCATCATTAAACTTCAAAGTTCAACAGTGAAAAAAAAAAGGATTACATTTTAAGTTAATGAATTGTACCATCAAAAGATAAGAGTACATTTAGGACATGATACTGAAGCAAGGACTTAAATATGAATGTTTTTATTTCAAGAAAAAAAAAAGCATTGCAGGAGGGACTACAATATATACTACACAATTTAACAATTATGGAGCCCATATTCTCTGTCCCTTGGGGAAAGAACTTGAAGATTAAAAATTTAGAGGCAGATTATGTCATTAAGAATAAAAAAAGAATTCAGATAGGTGTTATGTTAGGACATATTCATTGAAAATATCTGGGTGCTATAACTCCTATGTTGAAAATTGAAATATTAGGGATTATTCAATCACAAAGGTGTCATAAATGAGGATGTAGCATTGTGATTTCTCTGTTGTCCAAATAGATATGATGTACATCAGAAAATAAACAGATTAAAAGACATGTTGAGTTTTGTGTCTGTTAGCTTGCATGTATGCAGCTAACACTTAAGGAATAATAAAACAAGAATACAATATATTTATTTGATCAATACATAGACAAAAATCTTTTTTAAAAAAAGAGAACGCATGAAAAACTTAAGTTCAAAAAGACATGTGCTACCAACTGTAAAAATAAACACACAGAAAAAGCTACTTCACAATTCCAGCTTTTACTGAAAACAGTAACCTGATGAATGGTAAGATTTTAATAATTAAAGATGCTTTTTGTTATCTCTATTCTTGGAAAAAAAATACGTACAATGCCCTTTGCAGATTAAAAGTATGACTCTCTAGAGGAAAGATGCAATCAACTGGCAGGAAATAAAAATCCATGTTTGTAATGCCCTCAAGGACAATCACTTAATAACTCACAGTGATTCATACAGGAAGTAGATAGCAGGGTCAGCATAACTCGTCTTGGGTTATTTTTAAAAATAATATACACCTAAATAAATTTCTCATGCAAAAAGAAAAAAAAGATTTGAAATATATTCTAAGTAAATGAGGTTGTATATATGAGCTTTGTTTTATATTAACTTAGAAGAATAAAAACTGCTGAAGACACTCTCATTAAGTTGAAGAAGTGGCACGATGCCAGCAATGTTGTCTGGTGCAATTGATGGGAAAGAGGTCATGGGACCTCTCCAGACCTCAGTTTTCCTCATCTTCAAAACAGTCCTCAACATTGTAATAACTTTAAAATCCTGTGAGCACAAACATCTAGGAGAATTTGAAGAATGTTCAAAAGAATAACACAAATAGCACAGAAAATATTTTAAAATGTATTTAATTTTTGACATACTCGCAATGAATTTTTTAAATGTAGAAAGCACATAAGGCTTAGAAGCATTTCCATTCAGAGCTGATAGAAGAAAAATAAACCTTTTTTTGGAGGACAGAAAATATAAGAGTGAACAAAGGCCACAGGCAAGGAAGAACACTCAGTATTTTTGAAACTTGGAGAAAATCTGGTAGAAAGAAAATGGCTATATTAGACCACAGGGTTATAAGCTGAGTTATAAGTATAACTCAGCTTCCTACCTCTTGGACCCAGTTAGCTCTGAGAATCCTAAAACAATTATGGACATGTGTCAGTAATAGTTACCTTTGTGACTATGTGCCAGGCACTGTGCTAGCATTTTACATATATTTCACTGAAGTTTTGCAACACTGTGAGGCAATAGGGATCATTCCCAATCATACGGCCAAGGACCCTGAACCTTAGGTTAAATAAATCAAGTAACCTGATTCCAACACCTAGCACTACACCACACTGTCTCTGAGACATAAGGGTAAAACTTCAGTGGGGGTTTGTTAGTGCTGATGCTTAGGATGGATCCATATTACTATTTAAATCTGAATCAATAAGCTTTCTCTACAGCCACAGAGAGGATAAGGATTCCACTCAATTCAACAGGTACACGTTTTTTCACAGTGTGCTAGAGATTTTTTGCTGTTTGTTTTTGGTACAGACAGTGCTTTGGTGAATTTAAAGAAGTAAAGAAGGGCTGGGGTTGTGGCTGAGTGGTAGAGCACTTGCCCAGCATATGTAAGGCACTGGGTTTAATTCTCAGCACCACATATAAATAAATAAATAAATTTAAGATCCATAAATAACTAACAAATATACTTAAAAAAAGAACTAAAGAACAAAGGCACATACAGAATAGATGAAAAGCCTTAAGATTCTGGAGAACAAGAACAGAAATCATGCAGGGCACACCTGAGTATAAATGAGGGTTTACACACTAATCCTAAAATGATAGCAACCCTTAAAACTTGAAAAGGGTATATTAGACCAAACACTAATAGTTATTTTTCACGTTACACTTACAGAACACAAGACACAAGAAAAGTATGAGTTCCTTCATGGATGACCAAGCTATAATAGGTTAAAGAAAGGAGCTCATGCTGGTGGTTTTCAGTTTGGATTCACTGAGCCATCTCTGTTGTACAACCCTTCATGTCATGTCTGAGGATAGATTAAAAGGCTGGGTAAATCAAAGTCCAGAGCTACTTCTGGGCTCACATAGCAGCTGTGAAGCACCAGCCATCTTGCATGCCCTCTGTTTGCTAATAATTAGCCACCCATGGCATCTGGCAGGGTGGTGGGGGGAGCTCTTAAAATTTGGTTCATTTATATTTGGTATCATCATGGAATTAATATAGTCATTTGAAAATAAATGCACCCAAAAGTAAGGAAGCAGTGAAGCCTAAAAGGAAAAATTGCATATCTAAAAAAATAATAAACAAATAAATAATAATCTTATAAAGGCTGTTTTTCTTTTATATGCTTCAAAGAAATTCGAAGGCAGATTGTCTTGGTTTATATGCTTAAATACTTTTGAGTCACTGGTAGCCAAAGCGAAGAAAAGTAATTCTGAATATTTTTTAATGGATTAATTTAAATGGCACTTAGCTATATACTTTACACAAAAGAATGTTACATAAACAACAAAGTGGAAGAACCTGCTCAAATACTTCAGTAACCAGTAAATCAATCAATGATCTACCTACAGTAACTTCCAAACTTTACATATCTATCACAGAGTTTAAACAAATTCAAAATATTGAAGTGATAACATCTGACATATTTAGGTATTGTTTTATTTTTTAACTACCCTTTCATAGCTATCTTGGGTTTCCAGGTTTTATGGCTCATCATATATGACTCTAAGTTTTATTCCTCAGTTAAAAGCGAGAAACTGAGCCAGGTGTGGTGGCACCTGTGTGTAATCCCAGCAGCTCAGGAGGCTGAGGCAGGAGGATAACCAGTTCAAAGCCAGCCTCAGCAACTTATCGAGGCCCAAAGCAACTTAGCAAGACTGTCTCAAAACAAATAAAAAGAGCTTGGGATATGGCTCAGTGGTTAAGTGCCCCTGGCTTCAATCTCTGGTTTAAATAAAAAGGGAGGGGTAAGAAACTGAATGGAATGGATAAATAAAAATCAACTGTTAAACTGCATTTAATTGGCTCATTTCTCAAAGATATAATATTTAATAATACTATATTCTTACCCACCCAGAATGTATTATCTCCTCTGCAAAGTATTTGTTGTCTATTTGTATTCTCCATTAGTTTTCTGGATGTTATCAATGTTCATTATTTAGGTAATACTTTGCGCTGTTTTAACCTTCCAAATGTTTTCAGTTTAAACATTTGTTTAAAGGTTTGTTCCTTGTTCAGTCACATACTCCATAACTTCAATGCCCCTATTCAAAGACTCTAGGTCCAGTAACAGTGCAGGAGGGAGTGAAGGAATGACACTCCAATCCACAAAGTAGGCTTGGAGAGAGAATTAAGCATAATTTGTAGGAAATGAGCCCCACATTTTGTGTGTGTGTGTGTGTGTGTGTGTGTTGCTAGGGATTGAACCCAGGGCCTTGTGCATGTGAGGCAAGCACTGTACCGACTGAGCTATATCCCCAGCCCTACATGGTTTCTTGATAGAACATAATTATAAGTTCTCTGACCAGCTAAGATTTTTCTCCATGGGTTTTTGCAAAACCATTCTAGATTAAGCCTTAGTTGATGGCCAGGATGGCAAACAGGCTTCACATATACCAAGTCCAGTTAATTAGTAGCCTGCCTAGAACTTTGTGTTGAGAAGAATTCTGAGAGCAGATTGGCAACACAAATAGACATACTTGCTTTTCATAGTCTTGGATGCTATCAACAAGAAGCTTACCAGATGACAACTTCATGGCTAATAATACAATGAAGTACTGTTAGCTCATCTACTAATCCAAATATTTTTATATTCTGTAACAGAAAATATTTTGCCCAAGCCAAATTTGTATTACTTGTTACATGTAGCTATTCAAAATATAAAAAGGTATTGGAAAAGACATATAGTGACTGATAGGCTTTACAAGAAAGTTCTTTTAACTTGTAAAAATAACTTATGAAGCCATACTTACAGGATCCCCTCCAGAAGCAAATGAAATTGATTGCATATGATGATTTGCAATAATCTGAAAAACATAAACAAACATATGCAATACTATAAATTATTATTCCTAGTTATGTATAGTCTAACAGTAATGGATATACATGTATCCATTCTGTTTTTTACCTTCTTAGCATTCCTTTGGAAAACACCCCACCATATTCCATAATAATCCATTTTTTATTGCTTTTTGATACTAGGAATTGAACTCAAGACCTTGCATATGTTAAACACATGTTCTGCCACTGAACCACACAACTCCTCTCCCAAATAATCTAATTCAAACCATTAGAGTCAGGTGGTTTTGACATGCCCATCTCACTGCCCCTCCCTACCTAGATGAACAAGATTCAGGTATATCCAATCAGACATAGCAAAACCAATCAATGTTTTCTGAAAGGAAATGAGATGGCTGATAAGAGAAAATGCATCTCTCTCTGCCATTAAGGACGGTGTAAGCCCAAAGTTTCTGGGGATCATCTTTTGCTACCACATGGGAAAAGCCTGCTGGAGTCCAAATTTTCCATCTGGAGAAAATCAGAGATAGAAAAAAGTCTGGTGGAAACATTTGTTCCATCACTTTAACCAATATATTTTCTCCCTTTCATTTATATTTTTGTTTCTATTTATTGTTTTTTGCATAGTTTGAATTTGGTTTCAGTCATTTACCATCAAGTGGATATGCACTAAGAACATTAAGATTGCCAGTAAGTCAAGTAAGACTCAACATGTAAATTGCATTAATTAGTCAAGAAGATTGTCTCTTTTACTTGAGATTCTGTTTGTTTGCTGGTTTGGCATTCTTAGTATAATAAATAACCAATTTGCAGAGATTATTTGTTACACAGGTTTAAAGTTTCATTAAAATACCAACTATAGACTAATGACTAATCCTGTTTTCAGAACTGAGTGACAGAATTAAAATTACATATATATAACCAATCTATTCTACTCCTACACATATATCCAACAGAACTGAGTAAATATGTGCAACAAAAGATAACCTCAAGAAAGATAATAAATTCCCTGTTTAAAATAGCTCTAAACTGGAAAAAATTCCAATGATGATCCCTATGATATTCAAACAACAGGCTACCACTTAGCAATGATGTGTCTGTTAAACAAAAGAAGCCAAACACAAAGAATATATACTGCATAATATAATTTATTTAAGTTCAAAACCAGGCAAAATTATCTTATTGTGTTTGCAGTCAGGACAGTGGCTATTTCTGAAGCACAGGAAGGGGGTAAAGTGATTTTACTGGGATGGTACAAATGATCTGGGTAGTGATTACACACATATGTTCATTTTGTGATGAATTACATACATTATTTATTTGCTTTTCTATATATTTCAGTAAAACAAAATCAATATACAAAGATCAATGTCAATATCATGTATCAACAACAGTTGATTAGACACTGTATCCAGGGGGCAAAATGGGAGGAACATTTTTAAAAGGTATACTTAAGTATAAAACTAATAAGAATCATGTAAATCTTTTTAGAAACTCTATTGAAGAGTATAAGATTTGAATAAATAGAAAGATACATATCATCTTATAGATGAAAAGATAACAAAGGTCAATTTTCTTCCCTTAAATTAAGCTATAAATTCCATCTAATTCTAATAAAAATGCTACCAATGTCATTAATAGAACTTCTCAAGCTGCTTCTAAATTAATATGGAAGAATAAATGTGGAAAAACAGCTAAAGCAATTTTAAAATAACAAGTACACAAAATTTCCCTCATCAGATAGCAGATATAGTATAAAAAGACATACTCGGGCTGCTTCTAATATTCAAAGGAAGAATAAATGTGCAAGAAGAGCTAATTTTTTAACGGCAATTTTTTAAAGAACAAAAACAAGATTTTCCTTATCAGAAAGCAAAACCGCATTACTGACATATATAAGTCAGGAAGAAAAAGAAAAAAACTTAAATTTGATTACATAAAGATTAAATTTAAAACTGTTTATACAAGACCCTTAAACAAGACCAACAAGAGTCACAGAATGTACTTATAAAATGAGAAAAGAGAGTATTCACATGCAGAATTTATAAGGAATTCTCATGATTTAGTAAGAAAATGAAAGAAACCCCAAATAAGATCAGTTAATTCACAGAAGGAATACAAATGTTCAATGAATCATACTGAAAGATAACCAACTTCTAAGATAAAATAATGTCATGAACAATAAGACGAGATACCACCATTAAGTTGATAATATCTTGAAGTCCAACAATATCAAGTGTGCAAAGGCTGTGGATAGTCTCAAACGAAGGTAGCTAAACTTAAATTTGTGGAGAAACTTCAGAGAGCAATTTGACATATTTAAAACGACATATACATACCCTACGATTCCACATTTCCACTTCTAGGTATTTATTCTAGAAAAACATTGGCACATGTAGATGTTCATTTATCCGTTGTTTATAACATCAAAAAAAAAACACACACACATAAATTATCCGTCCCTGATAAGGTCAACTACAGTATATTTACATAAATGAGAAAAAAAAACAAAAAGTTAAATCTTTATGACATTGTTGAGGCTTATTTTCCCTTTAAATGGAAGACGGGTTAAAATACATACAAAAAATAGCAAAACCTCCTTTTTTTTCTACAAGTTACATAGAGATTCATGTAAATACAAAATAAGTGTGTGTTGGCGGGGAGGGGGGTTCTTAAAAAATAAGCACCAAATTGATAATCGTGGAAAGTCAGCTCCTGGAAAAAGATATAGAACCAAGCATTTCTTCACAATTTTTAAAGAAAATAGCGTTATTTGCGAATTTAACTTTTTTAAATAACAAAAATTTAAAAAGCAGCCTGGGTCATTTGTTAATATGTTGCCCAGTGGTTGCGGATATTGTCTGGCCTGGAGACGTGGATTCACAAGTCATTTGAGCATGGATTAAAGGTAAACTAAAAGCTTGATGCGACTGCCAGGGGGAGGGAGAGCGGGGGAGGGAGAGGGGGGAGGAAGAGCGGGGGAGGGAGGGGGGAGGGAGAGGGGGGGGAGAGGGGGGGGGGAGGGGGGAGGAGAGGGGGAGGGAGGGGGAGGAGGGGGGGAGGGAGAGGGGAGAGGGGGGAGGGAGAGGGAGGAGAGGGGGGGAGGGAGAGGGGGGAGGAGAGGGGGGGAGGGAGAGGGGGGGAGAGGGGGGGGAGTCTGAAGTGCTGCTACGGAGGCCACGTATTTTACAGTTCACAGCATCATAAGCTGAAGTACTACGTGATGCTCTTGGATACAGTCTCAAGGCAGAGTTGAAACGGTCAAATCAAAACCCACCCAGCTAACATTCCCCGAGGAACGCGAGCGTCCCCCACCCCACTCGCGCGCCGATCGTGCTTCGGCGTTGGGGCAACGCGCGTGCGCAAGAGATTACGCAAGCGCGCAGCGTTTGCGCACGCGCACAATCGCTCGTCCGCGCATCTCTTATTTTGCCGAAAGCGCTTTGCAGGAGACTGAGCGGTTTCAACAATGTCGGAAATGGCAGAGCTGTCGGAGCTGTATGAAGAGTGCAATGACCTACAGATGGATGTGATGCCTGGCGAGGGTGACCTTCCGCAGATGGAGGTAGGCAGCGGGAACCGGGAGCCATCCCTGAGCCCCTCCCGCAATGGGGCCCCGCCACAGCTCGAGGAGGAAGGCCCAATGGAGGCGGAGGAGGCCCAGCCAATGGCGGCGCCAAAGGGGAAACGCGGCCTGGCTAACCGGCCCAACCCTGGGGAACAGCCGGGCCAGATCGCAGGCCCAGACTTCCAGAGCGAGGATGAGGGCGAGGAATTTGATGACTGGGAGGACGACTACGACTATCCCGAAGAGGAGCAGCTGAGTGGTGCTGGCTACAGAGTGTCAGCCGCCCTTGAAGAAGCCAACAAGATGTTTCTGAGAACATCCCGAGCACGGGAGGCAGCCCTGGATGGCGGGTTTCAGATGCATTATGAGAAGACCCCGTTTGATCAGTTAGCTTTTATCGAAGAGCTTTTTTCACTTATGGTGGTCAATCGTCTAACCGAAGAACTCGGTTGTGATGAGATTATTGATAGAGAGTAGTTTAATGCAGATAAGAGGAGGAAACTACTTGAGGAGAGACCCAACTTTCCGCTGTTCTTTGGGTTCATTCCAAAACGTTCTGTGGCAATGAAAAACTTGATTCGGGGAAAAAAAATTGGTTTTTGTTTTTCAGAATACAGGACAATAGGACAGTGATTGCACAGTTGTGAAAAGACAAAGAATCATGAAAGAAAAGGGGTCTTAAGACTGTTGAAATCTGTTTTCCAAGAATGGCCTGAAACACCTATGGCTTTGACTTTGTTATTGATCAAGATTATTTTCCTTCCACTGGGGAAGATATCTAGTCTGTAAAGAAGGTTTTACAAGAGTAAATCATGACCAAGACAAACTGCCAATACAGGAGCCCACTGATACGAATTCTAAGAGGGGAAAAACAAAAAAACATACAAGTTATTTGGACTGAAAAACCTGTTGAGAAACTCAAAATTCTACTTCGTGATCTAGCCAAGTCATGGTTATCAAAGGCTAAATTTGGAGTGTAAGATGAATTGAGTATTCATTTACGAAAGGATAAGTGAATTAAAATATATGTATCACATATACTATATCTTAAAATGTGTTTCCAAGAGCATCTGAAATTTTGTACGTGTATTTTGATCATTTATAAAACCGTGATCTATTAATTCAGGAAAATCTATTGACATGATTTTTAAAGTAAAAATGTCTTTTTACAAAGTTTCAAATTTTGACATTGAAATGTATGTGAAAGTACCAAAAAGACAAATTATTTCTAATACCCTTATATACTAGGGAAGTTTTGTTTTGCTTGCTGATTTTCGTTTAACTTGACAGGTGAAAGACTTTAGTTGAACTTGGTATTGTAACAACTGTTGGTGAAAATTGTCAAGTGAAAGGAAAGCCCTCTACTTTAAAAAGACTGTATGGACATTAATTATGCTGTCAACCTTTGAAGGTTTTAAACCTGCTCAGAAATTCACCTCA